GTTCCAGTACCACCGCTTAGTTTTCGGTCTAAAGACAGCCCCGGCCATCTTTCAACGCACAATCGAACAGACCCTAGCTGGTCTCGAGGGCGTCCTCGTCAATTTAGATGATATTCTCGTGATGGCTCCCGATCAACGACTCCACGATACTCGGCTCGAGAAGGTTTGCAGCAGAATGGAAGAGTGGGGGTTCCATCTTCGGTTCGAAAAATGTCGATTCGCTGCCCGAGAGGTCAAATATCTTGGCATGATTATCTCCGACAAGGGCATCCAAGCCGATCCTTCAAAAATCGAAGCGATCCGAAATCTCCGACAACCGAAATCTCCATCAGATGTGAGAGCTTCCTTGGGACTCCTCAATTACTACGGGAAATTTTCTCCTCAAATGCACGCGATCAAGGCTCCTTTCGAAGCACTCCTGAAGAAAAATGTCGTGTTCAATTGGTCCGAAGTCCACCACGAGGCGTTCATCAAAGCGAAGGAAATCCTCACGGGATCTCTCCTTCTCGCTCACTACGACCCCCAGTATTCCGTCATTGGAGATCCAGACGTGGTCAAGACATGTCCAAATGTCGTGGACAAGAGATGGGTCGAGTGACGCCTCGGATAAGGGGAATAAGATTGAGGCGCTGCATGGCGATAATGAAAGATGGAGGGGGTCGGTCAGAGAGGAGATCTTTATTGAAGTCTCCCACAAGGACGAGAGGATCGTACCTCCGGATCGTATCTCTCTCAGAACGAGTGTTCTTGAGATGTCATTCTCCAGAACAATCGTTCTGGAAATGTCGTTTTCCAGGACAATCGTTCCGAGCATTGACTTCTTTGGAATGAATGTTCTGAGGAGCATTGCTATTACAACAGTTTTTTCGAAGAATTCAAGAAATATTTATTCGGTTTTAGCGCATATACTTTGTGTACAATGACAGCACCACGCTAGCCGACATCCGGCAGACCGTACATAGGGACGGTAAACCCCGGTCTCAACGATCAGATCGTTTTTTTTTCCCTGTCGTTTTTTTTAAACCTCATGGAGGAATCGTGACCGGGCACACAAGAGTGGCCTTTTTACGGCCTTATCGCCGTCAGCGGCAGACACCCAATCGGGTTTACTAGCCCTCTCTATCTTCATCTCGACACAAAGTCCGAGGAGGGGGGACAAACAAAAGTACCCCCCACCCCGGACGCAGACGAAACCGCTTAGATCCAACCGAATTTTTTTTCACCGGATGGCGGCGGACTGAAGTGACTGGCTGTTGGGTAGGGGGTGCCACCCCCGGCAGAAATCCGCCCGATAATACCACCAAAAGCAGCGTCGTACCGCAGATCAGAGAACACCCGACGCTCAGCGAAGGGACCCAGTTCGAACATTTAAACCGGGATCTGACAACGTACGTCAGATTGGGCTCCTGTCCGACTTCAACATCGGGTTGAGCCCTCTCGGGCTCTTCCACAATCAAAGTGGAACTCTCCGCCTGCGGAGGATCATCAACAAACACCTCGTAGTTATTTGCGGCGCGTTGTCGGGTTACCACTGGAGAGCGGAGCATCATTTTTCACGTTTTTTTTTCCCACTCGTGCTCTTCGGAGCAATGCTTCACAGCGTCCCATCTACGAAAGGGCATCAGAAGTCACCGGCTTGGCGACTCCAAAACCGAAAAATATCAAAACAAAATATTCCAAATACTGCTGATCAACTCACCGAAACAGCAAAGAACTTGACAGTTTTTTTTTGAGCACAACGTTTTTTCTGAATTCAAAATTTTGACTCAACAAATTAAGTACGCTAATCACAACCGTCTTCTTTGGCGGTTGGACACAGAGTGACGACTTACCTCGTGGTGCGCAGCCTCGTGCGCGCGGGGGAGACGTGCACAGCCAGAACGTGCCAACCAGACTCAACGTGCAAAAGCACAACCGGTGAACGCACACGACACCGCGGACACCATTCAACAGTCTCCGTGACTGATGCGATACCTCCGGTCTATATATAGCTGAAGCTTGTCTTAGATAATAAGTGATAGACGAAGCAGGGCATCGTCTAAGTGTTCCACTTAATCAAGTGTTTCACTAATACCGGAATACACGTGTTCCGGGATCTGTACACCCGTGAATGTCCCTTTCCAGGGACTGCTATATAAGAGAATAAAGGTCCGGGTTACAGGGAGGAGCTGTACGTTATCGTTAGATAACTGTGTGTTCATTTAAGCCGTGATCTTCCACCAGTTACAGATCCACCTCCTTAGAGTTCTACCAACTGACTAGTGAATATTTCCATCATTCGTTATCAGGCACGATCTACTCAAGAACTCTACTTCGGAACTGTAATTGTGAGTGAGAGTGACTCTGTCGCGTGGAGAAACTTTTCAGTGAAGTGAAAAGAAGTACGATGAACCCTTCGGAGAGTCAACCATCTACACCGGAAGATTCCAAAAGCTCCCACGGCTTCAGTGACCTAGGCGAGGACGTAACCAGACAATCTCAACCGTTGCATCAGAATCCAGGATCACCATTACCCATGCAGCTACCATCGGTACGCCAACGTATCAGAGTAGATACATCTGCCACAACCAATGACAAAGAAGATGATGACTTTGGACTCAAATTAGATGCCTTGACCATGAGTACGGGAACACGCGGGAAAGATCCAGTAATATTGAGACTCGATGGATCAAACTACACGGAATGGAAAACCTTAATCTACGCTTCACTTGATCAGAACCCTTATGCACGAAGTGTGACTCTGGGGACGCTAATTCCACCGTCACCAGAAGACACTAGCAAGTCGGCACAGATTCAACAACGCAAATATGATGCTGGTAACAGAATTGGGCGATGCGTACTGTTCGCATCACTCCAATCTGCACTTGCGGTCTCACTTTTCGCATCAAACTCTGAATCAGTGGAAGCACCTGAAATGTGGAGAGAAATCACCGGGAAATTTTCCAAGAGTTCAGGAGTCCTTAAACAACTGGCGCTCTCGAAGCTCATGCAGTTCAAGTATCAACAGAACATGTCAGCAGCAGAAAACTTGGCGCGCTTCGACCGTATCAGTAAGAAGGTAGCAGCAATGGGCCTCGCAATTTCGAGCGACATCAAGATAACTATATTGCTTGGTGCATTGCCATCAAGCTGGGAATCGTTCAAGCAAGGATTCACTGTGAGAGAAGATTCGGCTCAGAGTCTTTCTCACCTACTATCGGCCATAGAAACAGAAGCATCTAGACGGAAGGAATACGATTCAAAGGAGGTGACAGCACTATTCTCGAAGCTTAGTACTTCGAACCATGCTCACCAAAAGAAGAAAAGAACTTTCAACCGTCACGTCAACAGTAGTTCATTCACTAGGACCTCAGAAGTGACATGCTACAGATGTGGAAAGTCTCGGCCACATAGCTGCCAGATGTGAATCACAGAAACAGCAACGAAATTTCTACAAGAAGCGAGGATCCGCATGGCGTCATAGACGACAAAATGAGCAACGTCCCCAGCAGTCTCAACAACCCCAAAGACCTCGAAGAAACAATCAAAGACGTTTCGGTAATAATCATCAACGTCACTCTGGTACAAGAGCGCAGGCAAACGTCTCTGAGGCAAATGTACCTGAGCTTTTCATCAGCGAAGTAAAGTCATTTGAATCGAATTTCGCTTCCCCGGAAATAGAAATATGTCATTGATTCGGGGAGCAACTATCATATGACTAACAACAGGAACAATATGGTTGACTTCACACCATATTCCCAACCAAGGGAAGTCAAACTTGGAGGGAACCGCTCCATATGCGCGCTTGGATCGGCAAAACTCCAGGTTACGCTTAACATCAATGGACAACCACAAACAGTCCATCTGGGTGAAGCATTATATGTTCCTCGATTGCGTCGGAATCTCCTAGCGGTCTCCAAATTGGCTGATGAAGGCTTCAAGATCCAGGTGAATGACGAGGCAATCACGCTCTCCAGAGGAAAGACAGTGATGCAAGCCATGAGGAAAAATGGACTCTATCTGATAAGTTCAAGCGATATTGCAGAGGGTTGTGAAGCAGAGACCAAGGGAAGAAAGAAGATTAGCCTAGCCGAAGCACATCGTACCTTTGCCCACATAAACGTGGCATGGTTGAAGTTGATGTTGGAGAAACACGGATATGAAGTAATCCGCGATTTTAAGAGCTGTGACAGCTGCGCTCGTGGCAAAATGCACAGAGCCAGCTATCGTCCCAAACCCAAGACGGCCTATGCTCCCCGACTAGGCTTTATCAGCTCAGATGTTTGCTTCGTGAGCACTCCCTCTTACGGCAAACACAATGCATTTCTCACATTAACTGATGACTACAGTCGCTTCAGGAAGACATATTTCCTTCATGACAAGACTGAAGTCTACGATCACATCAAGGATTTCCTCGCATGGTTCCATCTGAGAACAGGTGTGCAAGTTTATCACTTCCACTCTGATGGAGGTTCTGAGTTCAAGAACAGGCGACTACAGGAACTTCTAAGATCCAAAGGCTGTGATTATTCGTATAGTGCACCATACACGCCGCAGCACAATGCTGTTCCGGAAAGACTGAACAGAACATTGCTGAATTTGGCGAGAACCATGGTGATTGACAGCGGTCTCGGAAAACGAGCTTGGGCAGAGGCTGTTTCTTTTGCAACACACATCATCAATGTGACCAAACTGATCAAGCCAAGTGAAAAGACGCCTTTCGAGATAGTGACGGGACATCGACCGTATCTGGGGCGCATATTGAGGTTTGGCACACGATGCTGGTTCTACAACATTGCACCTGGGCGCGACAAGCTTGACGAACGTGCAATGGCAGGAGTAGTTGTCGGAATTGACACGGAGGGTTTGAGTTACCGGGT